ATTTATTTGGCAAAAAATGTGCCCAAGAAAGTTAGCGGTTCGAACCATAGAGAATTCCAGACATAGCCAACAGCTGCTTTTTTGTATAGCTACTTTTCGGAACGAGAGAGCAGTGATTTTAACTGATAGCAATATCTAAATATTTCATCTTTAGCTGTGAATGAAAAGTTTAAAAGTTTAAGGTCGTAGTTTACTGCGCTGTCCTCAATGTAGAATCCCAAAATTTAGCAGCAATTTTTATTGAAAGTTTTTCGATGAACAAAAGGATTTCATACAGGCTGTTGCTGAAAATTTCATCCAAAAAAGGTCGTTTTTGTTTGTACTTATTTCCTGAACGATTACGTCAATCAACAATACTTCAGCGACTTTTACTTGACCCCTCATCTGTAGGCAGCAATACAAAAGTTGAGCACTTCAACTTTGCAATGGTCAAAGTTGGAAAAGCAACTTTCGCTGAGATGAAGAGAAGACATTGAAGCAAGAAGTTTCTAAAGGAGGCCATATCTAAAGAACGAGACGATGACGATGGATACAGAATCATGCCGTCCACATTGTTCTAAATCTTCTCAGCTCAATGTTATCTCTACACCCCGAAGATATCAACAGATGTCTTTGTATTGTATCAGTAATCCCCGCATTTGTTCGCTGTATTCAAAGCGTAGCCGCTGTGACTCAAACTACTATCAAAATTGTTAATATCATTAGTATTGTTCATCGTATAGTATCAAGGTGTACAGTAGATCCGCGTAGAGGCACCGTCGCTGCCGTCCTATCGCTTGATGAAAATCAAAATATTGTTTTCTCATATAACTACGCAAGATCACAAGTTTAGCTACTGTTGTGACTCTATCTTGCTAGACTGGTGGGAATGGAAATGCTGCTGCTTATTAAAACATCGAACTCCGTCATCTTATGCTTTGTTTTCTGTTATTTCGAAGGGAAGGTACTGCGTAGTTCATTTGGTAGTAGTCACTAAAGAGTAGTTATCATGTCTCATGAGATAACCCTT